AAACAGCTATTATGTGAATGGAAGTATGATATTTACATCAGTTTTTATACATTTTCAAAGTACAGTTGCTAAATATAACGATAATTAAACAAATAAAACACTAAACAGTAATCATGGGGAGAAACTACAGCAAGAAAACCCAACGGGGGAAAAAAAAAAAGTAAAATCAGTAATATGAACATATTAAAAAATGTATAATGTGTTTGTAATACTGATTTTACCTTTTTTTTTTTTTCCCTGTTGGGTTTTCTTGCTGTAGTTTCTCCCCATGATTACTGTTTAGTGTTTTATTTGTTTAATTATCGTTATATTTAGCAACTGTACTTTGAAAATGTATAAAAACTGATGTAAATATCATACTTCCATTCACATAATAGCTGTTTTCAATTTGTCATGCCCTCTATATGCTGAATTTTTGCTTGCCACTAGCCTTGATGTTCCCACCTACCTTCACGTGTTTATATATGTGGTATAGCTGTGCTGTAGCATGCCAATGAGCATGCGACAACCCTCCACCAATAGGAGTGTGACACCTTCCTAGCCTTGCTGGCCTGGCATGGCCAAGTGGTTAGGGTGCTTGTGGTTTTCAGGTTTGAATCCCCATCCCACCAAACATGCTTGCCCTTTCAACTTTAAGGGTGTTATAATGAGATGGTCAATCCCACTATTTGTTGGTAAAAGAAAAGCCCAAGAGTTGGTAGTAGGTGGTGATGACTAGCTGCCCTTCCTCTAGTCTTTAACTGGTAAATTATGGATGGCTAGCACAGATAGCTCTCGTTAGCTTTGTGCAAACTTCTAAACAAATCAAATCTAGCCCTGCTGATTCCTTCTATACTGTACTATCATCATTTTTCAATTTGGCATTAACGAGTGCCATTGTACAAAATGTAAAAAAGCTATCTTCTGTTCCACTAAAAGAGTTCCCAGCAGATATGCATGCCCTTCTTTTCTCTATGTGGGTGCATTTATCTTCATCAAGTTTGTCCTTCCATACATGTTTTGTTGTTGGGATCTCTTTGGCAGGAATGCCCTTTTGTAACATGTGCATTTGCCTACTTCTTTCCTGAAATTCTTTCACCCGGCTCCCTTCTTGCAGTTTTTTGAGACATTCCTAATACATTAAGAGTCTCAGGTGGAGGCAATGCACCAACAATAGCCCTTGTGTAGCTTTGCACAAAATTCATAACGAACAAACAGTTAATAAATCCATAATAATGGAATCAGGAAAAAGAACCAGAGAGAAAAAATCTAATTCAAATACACCAAATACAATATTACAAAAATACCTTTCAATATCAGTAACAATATCGAGTGATAAACAGCAATAATTCTCTAACTGTTTTATGATTCTCTCTCTTAGTGAAGCTTCTGGCATGTTATTTATTCACAAAGTAGGTCATGAAAGTACAACCTCATGATCATAAATTTACATACTTTTCTGCTACATTGATAGTATCTGTACATCACTGCTAGGGAAGCTGGTGTCAGTTTCATCACACATACATATTTACTTAAAATACAAATGATTATGTAGAAGGTGAGCTAGCATTTAATGCAACTAAAAATTTATAGATAAAGTAATTTATTGATAAACACAACCATAATCATAAAAAAAATAGAATTTGCTATCTCACATTGAGGCATCCTTTCATGGCTGATTCTTGGGTTCTTTAAGTGCTAGCAGAAGGTCTATTTCTTCATTTTTTCAATCTTCCATTATCTCCAGTTCTCATTGTTTTCTCTCCACTTTCTTTTCAGCATATCTCGGGGAGGGGGGGGTTGGATCTTATGCAGATGGTCATTCACTCCAGGATAAGCAAGGTTGATGTCTTAGATGTGCTTACTTTCATGTTCCCATTTCTCCAGCATCCTGACATTAACTTTGGTTTGTTCATGGGGGTCGGGTGTTTCATTTTTGTGCTTTCGGTTTGGCATTGGATTCATATGTCTTATGTTGTATAGTCACAGCCTTTGCCCTGGGACTGCAGTTTCACCTTACATGTATGGATGACTACTTTTGGCTCCTTCTCAGCAAGCCTCTCACAACCATACCCATCTCTTTCTTCAGGAGGCGGCTTGTTTGGGGTGACTTGCCAAACTGAAGAAGTCATATCTCAGCCTCACTCAGCATCTTATTCATTTGGGGGTGTTTTTCAACTCCTACCTCATCAGGGCCCAACATTTTCCTCTACATTTGAGGAATATGGAGAGATTGGTATCCAAAGCCAAGACTTCTCCTTCTTTTCCTGCATGCGAGGTTCTCTCTCTTTTGAGGACCTGCACTTCCATTGAATCCTTTGTCCCTTGGTGGCCCAACAGAAACAAAAGCTTCACTTGGATTTATTTTCTTCTTCCATGTCTTGATCTGCATCTCTTTAACATGTTTGCTGCCATGTGCTTCACCATTGAGTCACCACTGACTTTTAGTGTTATGGACCACATGACAGACTGATGGGTCAGAGACAATTATGTTTCAAAACCAAATTTCTGTTGTGGAATATGAGTTTGGGACACTGTGACTACACCTCTTGAATGTTTAATTTTACTTATACTTAATTTATTAATACTACTGGTGGCAGTGAACATGTTAAGGATATATCTCTGACAGGATGGGGGGCATACTTGGATTTTCAGGAGATAGCCGATCATTGGTGGTATTTGAAGCTACCCAAAACATCAAGCTTTTGGAGCTCCTGGCTGTTAATCAGACATTGGATCATTTCCTGTCTGTAGTACATGATCCATTCAGACAATTTGACCCTTGTCTCTCATATCAATCATCAAGGGAACACCCAATCTTATTTGCTTTGTTTTTGAACACTGGATCTCCTTTTCTGGATCCAATTTCAACAAGTCAGACTTCTTGCTTTTCACATCCCAGGTGCTCTGAATCTTTTAGTAGATCGGTTCTCTTGTCCCAGTGAGATTCTACTGATGGAGTGGTCTCTTGCTCCTCAGGTGTTCTGGTGGTTATGCTTCCACCTGGGTAACCCCTTATGGATACCTTTTCCACCCACCAAAATAACCCTTTCCAAAGTTAATGTCATCGAGTTTGTTGACTCACATTCAAAATTTTATTGAACTACTAATTCATGAATTTATGTTAATAAGTTTGGTATTAAACTGTAGATTATAATTCAAATTTTACTATTATACATTATTGAATTTTTTAATCTAAAAGTAAATTTAAAAAAAAACAGTTAAACATAAATTTTTTTGTGTCACATAGTATGTTGAATGCAACACTAGTTCAAATTAGATGTTTGTGATGTCAAAATACTAAGTATATAGTTTTGTATGAATTAGGAACTCAAATTACAGATATTGACATGCTACAATATAAAATAAGAACCTCACATCTTTTCTATTTGCCCCAGATATTGAGCATGTACTGAATCAAACACAGTGGCCCCACTCACCTCTTTCCAATTTTGGAAATGATCCCTTGTATACACTTACATGACATGTGAATAACCAATCAAAAGCTCAGAATGTCCCCCTAGTGGCTTTCTCAGCCATTTTAAAATGTTTGAGTGCCATCTCGTTCTTTCAAACCAAAATTTAAAGGAGATAGGTTGTGTCTTTAGTGTACTCGAAATTTCATGTTTATTTGGACCGAAATACAGCTTAGTTACTAAGCTTGATAAATTATAATGGAATTCTATGGTATCGATATAGTAATTTATGATTTTTTTAGGTTATTCAACTCTATATATAAAAGCTAAAGAAAATTATTTTATTTCATATCCTCCACGTGTAAAATTTTAAAAGACTTAGCAACCTACGTCAAGCAGCAACCGAATACAAAGATCGTAATTAGAAGAGATAATTGTTTGCTTTACTTTTTATTTACTGTTATATGTTTTAAGAACTTATTTCTAAATAGTAATAATCTATATAAATATATAATGTATAATAATTGAAATGTGACTATTTTACAAAATACTATTCTACTAAAACACAGCCAGAACAGGCCACTCTGTAAAGACTAAAGGTCAGTTTTATATATTGAATACAGTAACATGAGTACACGTGCCACATCATTGTGACTTCTGTATTGTTAGCCAGGCATGACTGAAAGGTCAATATAATAAAAATAATAGATATATATATATATAAATGTATAATGTTATGAGATTTAAGCTATTTAGTGTAAACATTTATGTTTTTGTTTTATAATTTGTTGTCATTCTAGAACAAAAGAGGCATAACTTATATTTATTTCATAATTTTTTATTGTGGTTACAAGATTGGTCAAATTTACCAAATCTGTACAGAAATTCGTTAGTGAAAATAACAGATAAAATACAAAGTTTTTGCTAAATATTTTATAACTATCTGGACATTATAAAGATTTCGCATGTGAAATTTGAAAATTTTCTTATGCACAAAAGTATTTTTAATCTTGAAATGAAAATTTCTTTGCATGTTGGATAGGTAACATATGAAAAGAAAAAAGGCATGAGAAAAGCATTGCTTAACAAACCTTAAGACTTGATAAAAATTTAATATTTTGAATATGAAAGCATTGTAATGTTTATTGATAATCTGCCAAATTGCATTAACATATGCTTACTAATTTAAAAGTTATAGCATGAAAACTATAACAAGCACAAAAGGGTTACTAGATCGGTCCTAGGGACCGAGCCCATGCTGAGGGAGATGATAAACTTCTCCTCTTCTGGTCTCCAGTTCTGCATTCTTTGGCTCTGGCTGTGTATGCATTCAGTCAGCACTGGTCCAATATTTACCTGCATGTCTATCCTCAAGTCAGTCTTCTTCCCTGCATCCTCTCACTTATTTAAACCACTGTGTATTGAGTTCTTCTCATCACTGCATTCTGGCCAGCACAACCATGGTTTCCACTCTCAAACTGCCTTCAGTCATCTCCTCCCATGCTGCTTCCTCTTTCCCAATTCCTTCTCTGGCAATCTCATTCCTCCATCATTCATCCAGCCATAGCCATACTCCAGCGTTATGCATGAAATTTGGCTGGTCTCTTTTGAGACAATCCAGACTCTCTCTGCAAGTGGGTTTCCTTCTTTCTTGTTCTGTCCACAATTCTTCTGTGCTGGTTTACCAGCATAAATGACACATTTTCCATTGCTGGTCTTTGCGTCATGGCTTCTTACCTTCTTAACCAAATGTTTGGCACCTTTCAGACTATTTTACTTGGCTGTTTGACAGTGGATTATCTGTTTTTACCATTGTGAGATATAGAGCAGTATTATCCAGTACTTTTCGTTTTTCCCACTTCTGCCATATTTTTCCTCTCCTGTTTTGTTCCTTTTGCTTTCTTCGTAATCCCTGTCCATTTACCCTACCAGGTGGGAATCTCAGTGTTGTTTTTCGTACCCTTACTCTCCCCCCCCCTTTTGAACCTTTAGCCTCTTGCTCTATGTACCATTTCTTCCTCAAGACTTATTTTTTTACTCCTCTCTTCATGTGGATGTTGTCAGTCAGAGCTCTTTGCTATTGATGTTTCCCACTTTCTTTATTATAATTTATATATTCTTCCTTATCTATGTCATAATTTTTTCATGAAAATCTTCATGCCAAGTGAAAGAGAGAGCATGCTTACACATATTTCCATCTATATTCCCAAACTGATCTTGATCATTGTCTTTGTCCAGTGGGATCTCTACATTGTTATGTTGCCTGCACAGCTTTTTGTGACTCCCATTCTTGTTTCTCTTTATCCCTTGGAGTATGGGAGTCCTTGGCACTTATTAGTTCCTAGCCACTGGGGTGGTGGATGAGGGAGGCTTCCTCCTGAGTTATACCACTTCCATTCAGTCGACAGTAAGGCAGTGGTTTTCTGTCAGTGTAGATGGTGAGTACTCTCCTCCTACCACATACTGGAAGACAATTCTCAATGCTGCCTGCTTTTGGACTGGACGAATCCATCACATGCAGTCTACCCCTCCAACTGGCTTTTCTCCATCCTACCACTGTCTGGATGTTGGATCGGTGTAGGACCAGCCAACATAATTCTTCATACATGTGTTTGGTATGGGCCCTCCTTCTACTGTGGATCAGATGAAAAATTCCCGCTGGCACTTGGTTTTGAACTGGAGTTGACCCACTACATTTGCATTCCCCTTCCTACAGTGCCTGGTGTTTATTGTGTACTGAGTCTTCACACTTGTGCCCTGTCTAGGTTGTCAGAATGGAAGTTGCTTTTCCTTTCTGTTTCCTGGGCTGAAGGTGAAGACAGTTGGGACCTTCCTCCTATTGCAGAACAGAAGACAAATATCTGATGCTGCCTCATTTTGGACTGGAGTTAACCCACAGAATATGGTCTGATGTGCCCTAGCCACTCTCCTCCTTCTGGCTTGTCCAATTACATATTGGATGAGCATCTTTTTCCATCCGATCTAGCCACACTTATCTTTAAAACAAGTAAAGATGTATACCTGGTACAGATGGGGTGCTGTCTCCCTTGGCTGTGACCATATACATTATGATGTCACACTCCATGGGTTCTCTTCAGGCACCTTCTGAAGAATGCTCATTTAGGTAAATTTTGAACCAGTTTCTCCACCATTTTAATTTGGGATTCAAACAATTACATGAGTGGAGGTAAGGTATTGTATTGGAAGCTATCATTTTCCTACACTGAAAATGTATTTCCAACAGATACTTACTTCTGCTCACACTTCTCAAACATCCTCACCTCTTATGGTGTGTCATTTATATCTAGTCTCGAGGTGATGATAGTACTCTACGATATAGAGTGTCAGCTGTGCTTAGAGGATTTGTTGGTGAAGGGTTGTTACATGCTCAGTTGCATGCTACAGCACAGCTATGTCCGGTGTAAACTTGTGAGGGTAGGTGGGAGCATCAAGGCATCTCTGTGGATGTAAAACTGACCTTTGAAGGTACTACTAACATGTATGATATTGTTAATTTTTAACTTTAAGTGGCTATTTTGTTTCTAGGATGACTATACTGTCGAGCAGAGAACGTACATGTATTCATCCTCGTGTGTCTCATTCAACTAATAAGAATGAAGGATGTAAAGAACTTCTTGATAACCCTGGTGTGAGTAGATCATAACTGGCTCATCAAGAATAGTTTTTACTCAACTTTTGAAACGAGTCTTTAAATATTCATAAAGCAACTTCCTGCTTGTATTGTGTACTGAACATATAACAATGTTACTACTGTACATTTTTTTTTATTCATATACAATAAACAAAAAAACTGCTCATGTTAAACAAAGCAGTTCTAATTCTCATTCTAAGCCCAAGTTTGAAAAAAATGTAAATCCTAACTTTTTCAAAGCCTGTCAACAAAAAATATTACAGAATTTTAACCATAAAATTACTTAGAGTAATTATTTAATTTTTATTTTCAGAAATTATACTTAATTTAGTAACTACTTTCATTGTCTTGTGTGACTTCAAATAAACTATAAAACCTTCTATGATTTACTCAGTCAGTAATGAATTACTATTTTTCTGTCTATCAAAGCATGTTTAACTAAAAAGTATCTGTGATAAGATCAAAATAATCCCATCTTTGGTCCATTTGTTTTTGAACAGGGAATATCTTGCTCTTTTTACCACAATCATCCTAATGTAAACCATGGCACGCTCCAGTGTTATGGTCATAACACAGGCTGGGATTTGGAAGATCTTGTAAAACTGGGAAGAAAAATCAAAGTAAGTCTGTTAACTTCTTAGCATGTTTATTTCCTTCAAGGTTAGAGCTGGATGATTAATGGAATTTACTAATCAATTAGTCATTATACTACATTTATCTAATGGCTAAAAAACAAAAAAAAATGATTGTGCTCAGATCAGTTGACCAAAAATCTTGCAGCAAATCATTTTTTGATACATGTGATGAGCAGAGCACAGCCAGCCCATTATGCAACATTGTGCTTAACAACAAACAAACATAATGGCAATAATTGAATTATTTGGATAGTTTGAATAACTGGAAGCCCTTATTTTGTTTAATTTTCTTGAGTCATGACAATAATCCTTTTAGCTAAGTAGAATTGAATTAATAAAAAACAATAATGGAAAATTATTATGGCAATATTTATATTACTGGATAGCTGAAATAACCAAAAACAGTATTAATCAGAACTACTCATTTCAGTTAGTTTATTTTTTTTGTAAAATTAATTAGTTTAATCATTATTTAAAGTTAATTCCCCAACTCTATTCAAGAGTTGTTTCTATCATATCAAGAATTACTAATGAGGTGTGTTTATGTACTAAATTACTTGTGGGTTTATGACTATTGGTTGCAGGGTCCTTAATAAGATATGAGTCACACAAGAAATACAAGTAAAAAATACCATTAATATTACAATTACTCCCATTAATTATTGCTGGCATTTCCTACATATCTTTATATATATTTAGAAAATTACTGATTTCACCCAAGTTTTTGGTCACTTATTTACATTAATTGTTGTAGCAAGCAAAAACAAAATTACTCAATATGATGCAATATGCATACTTCACCATTATTGAATATTACATAACAAGTTTAAAATTTGAGGGTTAATCGAAGTATGACAGGCCCTATTTTTAAATAGAATAATTTTCTGTTAGATTTATTTATTGTTTTGATTTGAGGAATTGTATGCACCTCTGTAAGATTCTCACATTTTACAAATTATGGTTGTGGATCAATAATATTGATTGATTTATAACTGAGAAATATGTAAACCTGAGAATTGATTGGACGAAAGTAATATTTAAATTAATTTTTTATACTGCAGGCCTGTCCTTACTTTGGAACACGGAATTTAATGAAAGATGCCAATATAATTTTTTGTCCCTACAACTATTTAATTGATCCATTAATTAGAGCAACAGTAAGTATTATTCCAACTATATCATTGATCTATTACTTAGAACTATGATAAGTAATATTATGACTATGTAAATTGATTCATTAATTAGAGCTACAATATGTGTTATTACAACCACATAATTGGTCCATTACTTAGAGCTACAATAAGTATTATTATGGCTATCCAATTGTCATTAATAAAAGTTAATATAAGTATTATTACAACTACATAATTAGTACATTACTTAGAGCTACAATAAGTATTATTATGGCTATCCAATTGTCATTAATAAGAGTTAATATAAGTGTTATTACAACTACATAATTAGTACATTACTTAGAGCTACAATAAATATTATTATGGCTACACTGAGTGGTCACAAGTAAATAAACACCTAATTTTTC